AACCCCAAAACCCCAAAACCCCAAAACCCCAAAACCCCAAAACCCCTATATAAAAAATAGGAATTGAGATTTGCACTTTTAAAATATTAATGATATCCAGACTAGGAATCAATGGATTCGGAAGAATCGGAAGATTAGTGTTCAGATCTGCTGTCGCTGGCGACAAGAGTCAGGTCTTCGCTATCAATGATCCATTCATGTCAGTGGACTACCTTATTTACATGCTCAAGTATGATTCAGTCCATGGTAAGTCTTTTTCATCAATAAAATCTGAAATATCCTTTAGGAAGATTCGATGGTTCTATCGAGAAAGTTGACGGAGGTATCAAGGTAAACGGAAACTTTGTGAAGGTCACCCACGAGACTGATCCATCCAAGATTAACTGGGGAGACTCAGGAGCTGATTACATTTGCGAGAGTACAGGTGTTTTCACATCTCAAGAGAAATGCGAAGCCCATCTTAGCTCAGGAGCTAAGAAGGTAATCATCTCTGCTCCACCAAAGGATGATGTGCCAATGTTCGTATTGGGTGTCAATCATGAGAAGTACGATTCAAACATGTCTGTTGTTTCTAATGCTTCATGCACTACAAATTGTTTGGCTCCTGTCACAAAGGTGTTGAATGACAATTATGGAATCGTTGAAGGATTGATGACCACCGTCCATGCTGCCACTATCAACCAATTGACTGTTGATGGACCATCCAAGGGAGGAAAAGACTGGAGAGCTGGAAGAGCCACTGGAGTCAATATAATTCCATCATCCACTGGTGCTGCTAAGGCCGTAGGAAAAGTTATCCCAGAGTTGAACGGAAAGCTCACCGGTATGGCTTTCAGAGTCCCAACTGTAAATGTATCTGTCGTTGATTTGACTGTCAGACTTGACAAATCAACCTCCTATGAAGATATCTGCAAGAAGGTTAAGGAAGCTTCTGAGGGATCACTTGCTGGAATCCTCGGATACACCGAAGACTCTGTTGTCTCAACTGATTTCACCACTGACAAACGTTCAAGCATCTTCGATGCCAATGCCGGAATCATGCTCAGCGAAAACTTCGCTAAGGTCATCTCTTGGTATGACAATGAATGGGGATACTCTAACAGATTGGTCGAGCTCTCTCACTACATGGCTAACAAAGATGGAAACTTGGCATAGATTTCTTCTTCATAAAAGATTTGACCTACTTGGTTACAATTGATAAATCTTCATTTTCAATAGGGAATTTCTAAAAAGGGGTTTTGGGGTTTTGGGGTTTTGGGGTTTTGGGG